GCGCGGGGGGGCGGGGACCTGTGGCCCGGGCGCGGCGGGGGCGGATGGATGGGCCGGGGGGTGCACTGTCTAGTAGTAGTACCGTAGTGGCCACTAAAAAAATGTAAAAGCCACAACCTCGCCTCGGGCCCAGTCGCCCAGATCGAGATCCGAGATCGCACACGATCTGACAGTTTTGAGAAGGACATCGGAATCAACCCACCTCACAGTAGAGAGGCGTGTCCGTTTTTATTTTCTTTGTTTATTTATTTATTTAGCCCGCGACCGTCAAGTGTTCCCGCGTCATTTTCCTACATGCGTGAAACAAAACACCTCTAGAGGTGACCACAGCATACGGTTCCACAATGCGATTGTTGAAGCGGATGGTGATCCGAAAGGGCCTCGTTGTGACAATGCCGCTTCCCCGCGGTAGGAAGTTGAGTCCAGCGAGCATCTCCAGGGCAGTGCTTTTGCCGTGGCTCTGCGGACCAACCACCACCACTTGTGGCAACTTGAGAAGCTGCCGCATGTTTTGCCGCTGCGAATCAGGAAGAGAGTCTACCTTGGCATTCAGCGTAATCACAGCCTGCAATTGGTCTATATCTTCAGGAGACGGTGTTGAGAAAGGGGTAGAGGTAGAGGGGTATGTGCGCTGCAGGAGGCGAGGGCGGCGGTGGGCGAGGGGACGGATGCCGCCAACTGGGACCACGCTTGACGGGTGAGCTTTTGGGTCGAACTTCAGCGGTCTCCCTTCCAGAATTAGAGCGATCGTCTCTTTGAAGTCTTGCAGAACAGCAGCGTCAGCAGTGAGCCTCTCACGAAGATCTGATACGGTTTCGTCCCACAGGTAATCAAGGAAGGGTCTGGCGAGTAGTTCGTCGGTGAAAACACCAGCATCCTCGCTGAAGAAACGCGAGGCCAGCATGCGAACGTTCCTTTCAAACGAGGCTGCAAACGCAGTTTTGGCTAGGTGTTTCACCTGGCATCGAACTCCAGGAAACGTCATAGGATCCGGACAGTGCGCAATAAGGTCTTTCCTGAGTGTTTGCCAGCTTACCGTTGGTTGAAGTACCGTTGGTTGAATGTCTGGCTGCAGCGCCAGGTGATCAAGGAAGAGCCACCCCTCCACCGAGTAAGGGGCCGGGTCTTGCACCGCCTGCATAGCCCCTATCAGGCTTTCGGCAGCCTCGCTCCATCGAACAAACACGGCTGCGAATAGGTCAGGAAGCCGTTCCCGCTCCGTCACCCGACGCGCGCCGTGGCCATCGTCATCGTCAGTCGTCGTCGTCGTCAGCGTCAATGTCGCAGGTTTGGCACAAAGGGTGGTAATACCGTATTTGGTAATAATCAGCTTGTCAACTTTCGAGGCCGCAGATCCAGAGCACTGCCCGCCTCCATCTTTCTCGCACCGCTTGATGAGGTCAATCGCGTACTTCACCTCCAGGGGGCCTCCACGGTCGCGAGTGAAGGGCAACAAATCCTCGATATCAATGACACAGTTGCCATCCATCGCCACAGGAGGAACCTTTGCCATCGACTCTCCTGCTGCGCACACAGCAAGAAAAAGAGCGGCGCATACTGAGCGTCGCATACTGAGCATATGACACCTGCGCATGAGGAGTGGCAGATGCTGACGCGCGTGTAGCTGCACAGTGCGGTGTAAGCGAGGCAGCAGAGGAGTAGAAGGGCTAGCTGCACAGTGGTGGCGTAAGCGAGGCAGCACAGGAGAGAGGCAAGGCAACAGGCTCTGGCGGCCGACCTGCTTCGCACGGCGTTGTCGGCCTTGCTGAAGGCGTCCGTCCGTTTGCGCTCGCCACCTTCCTTTCTCCGTACCCGTACTTTTAGCTTTGAGAAAAGGGGCACCGAGGTGTGTTCTCTAGGCCCCTAAAGGCCCTACTCTCTCTCTCTCTCTCTCTCTCTCTCTCTCTCTCTCTCTCTCTCTCTCTCTCTCTCTCTCTCTCTCTCTCTCTCTCTCTCTCTCTCTCTCTCTCTCTCTCTCTCTCTCTGTGTGTGTGTGTGTGTGTGTGTGTGTGTGTGTGTGATGTTTGTTGGGTGTGGCGGCTGAGAACCCAAGGGGGGGAGCTGATCCCACTCAGTAACCAACTCTCAGGGGCAGTAGGTAGGTGGGCGAGCTTCAATCAAGCACGCTCATCTCGATCGACAAGGAAGGCGTCGCGCTGATCGCACTCCCTTT